CCCCCGGAGACAGGCCTCAAGCACGGCAGCTGGGACCTCCGCGGGCCCCCCGGCCAGCCCCCCGGGAGTCAGCAGCAAGACCGGCAGAGTGGCCCTGGCCACCTTGAATCGGAACAGCCTGCAGCGCCTGGCCCTTGCCCAGTCCCGGGTGCTGATCGCCTCCGGGTAGGTGCTCTCTGATAGTTCGGAGCCCACGTCCACCTCCCGGCCTGGAGCTGTGGGCAGCTGCTGCTGAGCCTTGGCGGCGGGTGGGGAGAGCCCCTTCCCACACACAGGGACTGTGAGGACAGTGGTCTCTGCATGGCCCAGGTGCTCGGGTCCAGAGCGCCGCCGTCCTCACCTCCCAAGCACTGTCTCGCTGGGAGAAGCGCCGTGAGGAGCAAAAGTGACCCTCGGTACCAGCCGGGCCTTGTCTCCTCTGGTCCTCACAGCGGCTCTGTGGTGCAGGTTCACCACCGCCGATCCCTGCAGAGCCCAGGATCCGACTCTGCCACTGCCAGGCCCCCCTGCAGCCGGACACACGGTGCTGGCACAGTAGGTGCCCAGCGATGACCCGCTTCTTCCCACGCCTCCTCTCAGCTGTGCCAGTGACAGCCTAGGTGGGGAGCAGCTCCTGTGAGCACCGCGCAATCTTCCTGATTGCAAATTCGGGTGGCCGGGCCATGCTGCAGCCAGCTTCCCACCCGATCTTCCCTTTTCCAGGTGCCTGGCTCTGCCACAGGCTCAGTGCCAGAGGGGTGGGGTGGATTGAGCATCAAGCTGGGCATCTGAGCCTGGACCTGTGCACCTGGCAGCTCAGCAAGGAAGGAGGGGACGACACAGAGAAAGGAGGGTCGGGCTGGGAGTCGGGGCTCGGTCTCCACACCTGGGTCTCTGCCACTTGGGTAAGCCCAGTGGCCTGGGTGTAGCATGGGAACCATTGTAAGGCCACTGCAGAAGGCCACCACACACCCTCGGTGTCCCAGGAGCCTCGTTCCCCTTCTTTACTCTGACACATGCGCCTGTCAGCTCCAAGCTCTGCCACAAGACTGCGTATGCTCGGGAGGGGTCGGGTCCTGGGTGTGGTCCTTGCTTCCTGTGCTGGAACACAAACAGGTCCCTTGCTCCTCCCCATCGAGCAGGCTGTGTCCTGCTGTCTTCCGCGTTCTTCCATGTGAGGCAGAGAGTACAGAGCAGCAACTCCCTTCCGAGTAGGGCTGTCCCGAGAACGAAGTGAGATGTTCGGTGTGTAGAGGTGACTCGGTGCTTGGCACATTCTAAGACCGCGGTGCTGTTACCGTTAGTAGTAGCAGTAGTACCGGTGGGCAGGGACTGAGTGAGGGCTGCTGGGTGTTGGAATGAAGTCCAGGCTGCACAGGTCCCCCCTCTGCCTCTCCAGTGCCCTTGACAAATGCCAAGTGACCCCTGCCACCAGGGAGGGGAGATGCCCGCATGGCTTCCAATCTCCGAGCGGGAGTGGCAGCCTTTATCTCTGCCCTTCCTCGCCCACGCCCGCCTAGCTGGGAGCAGAGAAGCTCTGGACTGCCTGGACTCAAAGGGCTTCAGAAAGGCGCCGTTTTCTTCTCCTTCGCTCTGTCCTCCCGAGGGCTGGCCCACCCCGCCTGTCTTGCAGCCCTTTCCTTTTCACCTTCTCCCACCTCCACTCCCAGCCGGCTGTCTCCTTGCCCAGCCTTTCTTGGCCACTTAATGATCGGGTTGGTTCCCTTGTCTGCCTCTGCTGACCTTCTGTCGAACCTCTGGCCCTCGCCCCTCCCCGCCTGCCCTTGACCTCCGCAGGCAGCTTTCCCTCAGAATAAGGCTGGGAGAAATGGGGTAAAGAGGGGGCTCTGGGGGGACAAAAGATCCCATGCATTGTTCAGAGATGCGAGAAGGGGCTTCTCAAGGGACGGGGTGCGTGGAGGGCGAGAGTCACCCTGGCCCCCAGCCCTCTCCTCCAATCCGGTCAGGTCCTCTCTGCAGGCGGGCTGGTTGCCATAGAGATGGGGCCATTGCCCTGTGGAGAGTCCCCAAGTTGACACACAACTCAGAAAAGCTGCCTCTCCCCGAGGTGCCGGTGCCGGTGCCGGCAGGGTCCCCTCCCTCCCTTGCCCCCATCCGCTGCCTGGGCAGCTTCTCTCTATCAGCAGAAATAAAATGCAGACCATCCGTTGCTGGGGTAGGCCCAAGAGATCTGGGCAGGGGTGTTTGGGGCCTTTGACAGAGCCCCACTCCTGGGACACCAGTCCTCCAGAAGCCGGGGACTGGGACCCTGACCCTACGTGGCAGTGTCGCCCGCGGTCTTTCCCTGGTGAGGATGCTTCGGGGACCCTGGCCCAGCTGGAGGGTGGCACAGTGGCCAGGACTATGCGGAGCTCCCAGGGACACCAGGCAGGTCAGGGCTGCTTCCTTGTACCCTCCAGCACCCCATAAGCAAACACCACCCCTGCTCTGCCTGGAGCCCATCTACAAGCCCTGCCCACCTGCAGGTCCCAGGCAGGGCACTGTCTCCCTTCGGTTCCGCCGCGGCCCCTCCTGCTCATGAGCCCCAGCTGTCCTGGCTGAGTGAGCGATCGGATTGGGTGCGGAAACCCGCCAGTCCAGCCTGTGGGAACAAAGCTGGCTTTTGTCCCGGAGCACAGCCACTCGGGCTCGCTGGCTGGCCATGAGAAGGGAGCAGGTGCCTGTGCTGGCTCCGCGTGCTGCCCCCTGGCGGGAAGTTGTCGGAAAGGCGCCTCCTAACCCGCGGCCTCAGTTTTGCAGAGAGGGAAAGGAGCTGGGAAAGTCAAACTGCCCCCAGCGGGCTTGGCTATCTGGTGGGTTTTCCTTGCTCCTCGTCTGAACCACTTCTGGCCCTGCAGTGCAGGCTTCAGTCTGGAACCGAGTCGGGCCTGGTTCTCGGCAGCGTGCCGGGTTGAACTCCAGCTCCCTCGCGCATGTCCGCCTTGATTTTTCCAGGACAGTCCAGGGAAGTGGCCTTGGTGGCCTGGCCAGGGCACAAACTCCTCCGGCCCCCTCCCAGCCCTGGCACGGGCTCTTCCTCTGAGGGATCCCCTCCAGGTTGGCCCTGCTGCTCTGCCTCCAGTCCTGGCCCACTTTCCCCTTTGCTGGTGCTGAATCCACTCCTCTCTGCCTGCCCCGGGGATGTTAGCGGGTAACATAGGAGCTTGCCACGGTGGGCAGGCTCTGGGCCCAGATTCCATGGAATTCATTGTTTTCGTTGCGTGTGTTTGTGACGCAGAGTTACACTCATCCTGGGGGACTGGTGCATGCACACACCACCTCATGCCTTAGCCAGTTTTATCTTCCCTCCCCGCTCTGCCTTTCCTCAGATCTCCACAGATTCCACCCCCATGTTCTATCATCTATCTTTTCTTGTGCCCTTTAGACTATACTGTGGGTTTCTCCTATAAGAAGTACTTAAGCTTCTGTATCTGATTTATTTCGCTTAGTATTATGGCCTCAAGGTGCATCCATTTTGCACAGATGACTCAAGTTTTGTTCTTTCTATGACAGAGTAGTACTCCGCCGTGTATTTCACATCTTCATCCATCTGTTGGGGGCATCTGGGCCCCTTGGGTCTTCAGCAGTGTGATCTCGGTCAGCTTTGCCTCACTTCCGTGTCCTGGACAGGGTGGTAACCTGGGCAACAGCCCAGGTGGCTGAAGGTTAGGGGCAGCTTGGATGCCCCTGGTGGGAGGCGGCCCTGGGGTGAGTGTGACGGTGACCTGCAGTGCAGATGAAGCCCCTCGTCCAGGGCACAAATACACACGCACCCCTCCCCCATCTGGGGTCCCAGCACCGCCCACCCACCCCACGTGTCCCCTGGACTCCATTCTGCTCCGTGGTGGCCTCACCTCTCCCAGATCCCAGGCAGCTGCTCCATCTCCAGCCGGGTCTGCGCTCCTGGGGAGGGCGGGAGGGGGCTGTGGGGAGCAGGGCAAGCTGGTGGCCCCCAAGTGCTGGGCAGGGATGGGCCACATCTGCTTCTCGGGAGCTTGGGGGAAATGCAGACTTGCGCGGTCCTGGGTGGCTGTTGTACGCTCGGATCTGGACTCGGTTCCTTATTTTTTCATTGCTTCCATGGCTATTGATTGAATGCCAACCAATGCCGAGCTCTGAACACGGTACACACAGACATTCACCCTGGAAGAGCTTAAATTCTAGAAGGGAGATAAGAAGCCAACACTTACTTCCAGAGATCCTAAATCTCTGGAGAGAAGAAAACCCTGGTGGAAGATCAGGGTCCTGGGCAGGCTGGAGGGTGGCAAGCAGGACTGAATCAGTGGTGTCAGGAACTTCGAAGGAAAGGTGAGATTGGAGCCAGGGGGGGCTGAGCAGTTACTTTCTGGAAGGTCGAAGGCAGGCGCGGGCCTGGGAGTGGGAGGAGCCGCAGAGAAGGGAAGGGGCCAGAGTCAGAGGCGGGTCTGACCTGCCTTGAGCCTGGCATCTCCCCTGGCCGCTGTGTTAGGAACTTTGCTTCCTCGGGAGGTTTAAACCCGGCCGTCCCAGCCCCCTAGCAGAAGGTGACAGACGTGCCCTTTCCTCCCGCAGTGTCCCCACGGTCCCCGTGAAAAACTTGAATGGGTCGAGTCCTGTCAATCCGGCCTTGGCAGGTAAGAACCGCCCCGGCTGCCCAAAGAGAAAAACCAGAGATGTCAGAGAAGTCGTATGAGAACAGGAGAGGGTCTGGAATTCACTGGAGCAAAGGAAGATTTTAGGAGCTGTGTAGGGAGGGTGAGAAGAACTGAGGGACACAGAAGGCTGTAGAAGAGAGTGAGCGAAGGGCCGCAGGGCCTAAAGTGCGAGGACTCTGCTGGAACGGAGGGGCATTGGTGTCAGGAGGGCGGAGCTGGGGTGTGGCTCGTTCTCCATCCCTGCCTCTCCCGCCCACCAGGAATCACCGGGATCCTAATGAGCGCTGCTGGGCTGCCCGTGTGCCTCACCAGACCCCCGAAGCTGGTGCTGCACCCACCACCCGTCAGCAAGCGCGAGATCAAGTCCATCCCGGGGGTCTCCGACACCAGCCGCAGAACCACCAGAAAGCAAGCTAAGAAAGGTACTGCCTCTCTCCCCGGACGCCAGCCCCGGCCCAGCCCCAGCTGCAGGGTCATAGCCAAGGCTCAGCACTCGTTCTGAGTCTGCTCAAGGGTCTCGCCAGTAGATCCTGATGGTGACACCAAGCTGCATTGTGCACAGGTCAGACAGAAGCATGCAATGCACAGATCCAGAGAATAGCAATACTGTGTACGGCATTAAAATGCATCCTAGGAGAGAAAGGATGCTTTGGCATTAGCACCTGCACAGATTGGATTCGTACCCTGACTCTGTCACTTGCTGCTTGGTGGCCGCATAGAGCCTCTGTTTTCTGTCTTCGTGATGGGGTAAAAATGTCCATGGCCAGTACTTAGCAGGAACAAGGTGTGCTCACAAAATACCATGGGTGCGTAAATTAGTAAAGACGCACTACCGTGACAGGTCCGGCGCTGTGAGTCCCCATCAGGTCACCCCCAATCTGGGCCGCAGCCCTCCCATTGTCCTTGCTTCTTCCCCAGCAGAGCTGGGCGTTCTCTCTCGTGGCTTTACCTGCGCTGTCACGGCTGCCTCTGTGTCCCGGATCAATTTAAAACGTCGATGTTTCCTGGTCATTTTGCCTTCGGGGAAGAGCCAGAAGTGGCACAGTGCCTGTTCTAATGAATACGGTAAAGGGGCATCACGCTCACATGTTTCTGAGCCGGGGCACGTGGCAGTAGCTGTTCCCATACTTTTAGTCACATGATAAACACACTCAGGAAAGAGGACTTCCGGGACTGCTTCAAAGAGTGGCCAGAAAAATGGGATGAATGTGTTCCAGGCAGGGGGGTCTGTTAGAGGGGATGAGTGGTGATGTCTTTTACCGTTTAGTATTTAAATATTCACGGTATGTTTTGACTGAAGCACATATACCCTGGAGCGCGTCCTGACGGTGGGGAAGCAGCCTCCACCTGTGTCCCTCCAGCCGCTCTGGGTCCCCCGGCCACTCTGAGTCCTTCTGCTGGAGCCCTTCCTATTGCCGCAGTCCGGCAACCTGGGGGCCAGGGCTGCTTCTCTCAGCACAGAGGCCGCTGGCTCAGCCCCACAGCCGTGTTTCTGATGACGAATGGCGCTGTCCTCTCCCTGGCACGCTCGCTTCTTGTGACATCCCGTCCTCTGTGTGCTGCCTCAGCCCAAGGCAGGGCAGGTCCTGGGCTGTCGGACAGGATAAGCGGGAGACAGTGCAGTTTGGCTCCTGGCCATGGCGCGGTCCCCTTCCTGAAAGCCCTGCCCACCGATGGAAGACAGGGCTGTATGCGTTCCCGCTCCTGTGAGTGGCACACACTGCACCCTTCTCTGGAAGAGTGTGAGGGGCCTGTTCTTCCGCGAGCTTGTGAACTGTGAAAGCACCACCTTGAGGTGGGTCCCATCAATCTTCCACGTCTTACAGGTGAGAAAACAAGCTCAGAGCAGTTAAAAGAAAGCCCCGAGGTGGCTCTCGCTCTGTCTGTGGTCCTTGTACGGCTGTATCCTGCCATCTTCCGCTGCAGATCAGAGCTTCCAAAGGCTCCAGTGCCCGATGGAGCCCCAGGTCCCTGCTGCGGTCAGGAAGCTCCCCGGCCACATTTGCTGGCGGCAGCTCCACTGTCCACAGCCAAGGAGCAGCACCCTGACACGGCGGGTCCCAGCTCCCTGGTTTCTTGTAGAAATATGAACGCTTGTGGAAATTGTCCTAGTGTACAAAGTGTTTTTGTTTCTGCTGCTGCAGCTGTTTGAGTATAAAGAAAAGAATCTCACTGCACACTTGTGTCCACTAAGATGTGATGAGCTGGGAGTAGGCAGAGGCCATGTCAGTATGGTGCCCTTCCTCGGGTTCCCTGATTGATCTTCCACAGCCTGAATTCCCTTTCACATTCTAAGTCCAGTTGTAGAATGAGCTGACGCCCTTTTCTGCCTTGGTCTGGGCTCTCGCTCTCCCCTCTCACCAGCCTGAGCTGGGAAGGCGGGGGTCCTCTTGCCTCCTGGTGACCTGTGCTCCTTCGGTCCCCACAGGTAAAACCCCGGAGGAAGTGCTGAAGAAGTACCTGCAGAAGGTCCGGCACCCGCCTGAGGAGGTGCGTGGGGTTCACCTCTCCCTCGCAGTGGGCCTCACCTCTGCCACCGTGTCCTGTGGGAGGCAGCTTTGGTGTCAGGCTGAGCCTGGGCTCCGAGCCTGTCCCTGCATAGTGGAGCACTGGTGAATTCTCAGCTCCCTTCCGCGATGGCCCAAGTTTAAGGAAAACTGGGCTGTGCCACGGACACTGGCTTCACAGTGGATATGGTGGGGATGGCAGGGTTTCCACCCTGAGGCAGCATTTGTGCGGGAGACACTTGGGTCGCGACTACAGGGCAGAGAGCAGAGGTGCCGCAGCAGGCAGCACAGAGCATCACCGAACGGTGTTTAAAAAAGCAGTGCTGGGCCGGGGATTTGGCTCAGTGGTGCCACCGCCTGCCTCGCAAGCACAAGGTCCTGAGTTCGATCCCTGTACCAAAAAAAAAAAAAAAATGCAGTGCTGCAGCTGACAGAAGTGTTGTAGTTTTTTTATTCAAGCAACGCCTCTCTGGCACATTTAAAATCCCTCTTTAAAGTATTCTAATTTTTTAAACATTTTATGAGCAGGTCTGTAGCACCTGTTGATTGCATTCACCCTGGGGGGCTGGCACATGTGCACAACACTTTGTGACGCCCTTCGCTCCCCTGGGTCCCGGCCCTGCTCCCCTCCCTCGTCTCTTGGTTCCGATGCAATTCCTTTGCAGGTCAGTGTAAGGCCTGACAGCGCCACACTGAGGAGGGACTGAGGAGGGACCGTGAGTCCTCAGGGAGACTGACATATGGCCAGGAATGACGCAGAGCAGGGAAAAGATTCAGCTCCTCCAGCCACCCCCCAGGGCCCAACTAAGAGAGGGCCGCAGCAGTTCCCCCGAGCCCAGTCGCCCGGGGGCTGGCCACTGATGCCTCTCACTGCCTCCTGTCTCCTGTCCTACAGGACTGCACCATCTGCATGGAGCGCCTCACGGCCCCCTCGGGCTACAAGGGCCCGCAGCCGATGGTCAAGCCGGACGTGGTGGGCAAGTTGTCCCGCTGCGGCCACGCCTACCACATCTACTGCCTGGTTGCCATGTACAACAATGGGAACAAGGTCAGTGCCAGGCTGGGGTCTGTGGGGCACCCAGAGCAGGGAACACCCGTTTCTTTCCCCCAAGGTTTGGGCAGTTTTAGGGGACCCCACAGCAGCAGAGTGCTCACGGCTGTTCTCAGCAGGAGCATGGTGTCCCCCAAACCGTCGGTGCGCGTTCATTGTGCCCTTGCCTGGGCGAGGGGCTCCCGGTCATCTTTCCCCTCAGGACGGTGAGTTTAAGCAGTAGCTCACTTTCTCTGAACAGCTTCACACACCCTTGATTGTCCCTTCCAAGGCTCCAGAGGTCACTGTCAAAGCCTCCCTGGGCCCCTGCTGGAAGGCTGTTGGCGGTGCTGCCCTCTGGCGGACTGACTGGCCCTGGAGAGGTGTCTCCTGGCGCGGGTTTCCAGGGACCAGGAGCCTCTGAGGGTGGTCATTCTCCGCACTCAGCACCTGCACTTTCCTAAGACGCTGTTTCCCGTTCCTGGAACAACCTTCACGCCTACCTCCATGAGTCTGAATCCTGTCCATTTCTCCTGAGCGCTGCCTCTGAGTCTGACATTTCTCTGATATCTCCCAACTTTCTCCTCACCCCAAAGCATCTGGATGTCAGAGGCTGCACTGTGAACCTCTCGTGGGAGGAAAGGAAGCCAGTCTGAACTTGGATCCTGGCTTAGATGCTGAACGACCTTGGGCAAGGTTTTTCAGCCTTTCTGAGATTTCATTTTCCACATGGAAGATAAAGATGTGGCCCTGCCTCCTCTCTGGGCTGTTATTATCCCAGATGCCCTTGGCTTGCCTGCCACTGCAGTTATCCCTCCTCTTTACTACCCCACGGGCTGCCTCGGATCTTCCTGTGTCCCTAAGACTCAGGCTCCTGGCGGCCTCCATCGTAGGTGGAGGGTATGAGTCTGGCCCCCGTGCTCACTGTCCTGGCCCCCAGCTCAGGGTCTTCTTTACGCACTTGCATCTTGAGAGGTGCGTGACTGAAAGCTTTTCTCAGCACCTGTTTGCTGAGAATGAGTGGGTGCAGAAATGCTTAGTAAGCCTTTGCGCTGTGTGTGCAGCGCTTCAGAAAGGTTTCTCAAGGTGCTCGCCTCGGTTCTCCTTTTAACAAATACTCTGAACGTGTGTTTTTGTTTTGTCAAACACACTGGAGAAACCAGAGAGACGAGAGTGATTCACCCCAGGTCATGAGCGACACTGCGAGCCGTTCCTCTAAGTGAGCAGCGCTGGGCTGAAAGTCCCGGAACAGCTCAGCCAGGATCCGCCTCCCCAAAGGGGGCTGTCAGGGCGCGGGTCCCAGCTGTGCACCACTGCGTCTGCGCTGCACACACCTTGCTTCCCACCTGCAGCCCTCTGCTCGCCCCATCCTGGCCTCCTCAGGCTCCTGCAGCCCCCGGTGTTGCGGCGAAGCCGCCATGGCACTTTGTGTCACCACATCCAGAACCATCGGCACCCCTGGGGTTGGGCCCACAGAGCAGCAAGCGCTGTGATCGTGCAGTGCCTCGAAAGCCGGGCATGGTGACTCACAGCTGGGATCCCAGCACTCAAAGCTGAGGCGGGAGGGGTGGATGTTTGAGCCCAGCCTCGGAGACTTAGAGACTCAGAGAGACGCTGTCTCAAGAGAAATTAAAATTAAGAGTGAAAAACAGCTAGGGTGTGAATCAGTGTGAAGGCCCCAATTTGGGCGTTAGTATCACAAAAATAAATCAGGCTCAGAACTCCTTCCTAGGCCATACCAGAAAGAGGCGGAATGGCAGGAGGGCCGTATACGCTCCTGTGAGATGTGCTGTCCTGTAAGGGGCGCCACCGTTCCCTCCTTTAGTTACCCATGCAGTACGTGTCCTCTGTCCTTCTGAACCAAGTTACAGCCACTTCCTTCAAGCCCCTCAGTTGCTCCGGCACGATGCCCGCTTCGTCTCACGCGATGGGCCTGAGTCTGCGGAGACATCGGGATGCACAGAATCACATTTAGCGATGCCATGAGCTTCACCCTCCCCGCAGGTCACCTCGTCTACTCCTCCAGCCACTGAGCAAGACAGTTACTGTTCGTGTTCTTGTTCCACAAGGAAACTGAGTCTCAGCGAGTGTAATTGCTTTGCCCGAGGTCACAGAGCATCGCAGGAGGGCTGAGACTCAGATCTGGGCAGTGTGACTTAGGGTTCAGCCAGCGTACCCCCAGCCTCCCTGTTCAAGCAGCAGCTTCCTGAGGGCCCGATGTCTTTATGTCAAAGGCTTCTCCCTCTCTTGAGTGCTTGAGTCTGAACCACCCACTCGGGCCTCGGGCCCAGCATGACTCCCCAGGTAGGGCCCTGTGCGGGTCAGCTGGTCCCCCTCAAGGAAGGGGTGTCTCTTCTAGGTCCCTTAGCATGGAGCCCGGGGTTCTTTTTGGAATTTCTTTCCTGTTCCCTGGAGGTGGCTGGGCAGGGTTTCAGGTCTGGTATTTCCTGGAGGGCTCCTTGCCCCTCCCGGTGACTGCTCCCAGGTCCTCGGTTTCTCGTGCCTTTCGGGATCAGGTGAGGAGATCGTTACCAGAACTGTTTGCCAATCGCTGTTTCAGGATGGGAGTTTACAGTGTCCAACCTGTAAGACCATCTACGGGGTGAAGACAGGAACCCAGCCACCGGGGAAGATGGAGTACCACCTCATCCCCCACTCCCTGCCAGGCCACCCTGACTGCAAAACCATCCGGATCATCTACAGCATCCCCCCGGGCATTCAGGTGCGCCCCCTGGTGTTTAAAGGATTAAAAAACGCTCCACTCTGAAGTCTTCCCACCTTCTGGGGCCTCACCCCACACGCTTCCCTGTCACCACCATTGTTCGTGGTTTCTTGAGAACCCTCCTGGGATCCTTTGTGCACACCCGGGAGCGGAGGCACCTCCAGAGAGTGACACTGAGGCACTTTGTTTCGCACCCTGCATTCTTCTGTGAACAATGCAATCTACAGAGCTTTCCAGGGCAGTCTGGAGGGAGCTCCCTCATTCCTTCCTCTGTGTGTGTAGTAATCCATTGTGTACGTAATTTCATTCAGCAGCTTCCATTTGATGGGCGTATGCATTGTTTCCAGGCTTTTGCTACAACAAATAATGCTGCAATGAATAACCTCGCACGCATGTGAGAATATCAGCAGAATAGTCCAGCCAAAGTGGAATTTCTTTGCAAATGGGTATTTGCATTTCTAATTTGATAGCTACGCTTGGCTTTGATTTTTGTGGGCATCTCTCTCCTCTTTGGATCTTTGAAAGCCAGTCTTGAAGGACAAGTTTGAACAGTATCCCTGACAGTAAATACAAATGAGACCCTTCCTTCCCACAGTGAAGCTTTCTCTAAACACACATGGGTAGAGACTGGACTCATTTCTTTAGCAGATATTTATTCTTGTGCCTTTTTTACCCCTCTTGTTTGTCTTTTTTTTTTAAACAGATGTTAGGGTGCATTGCGGTGCAGGCGTGTGTGCTCTAAGTACCAGAGAAGCTCCCTGAAGTCCCCCTGGTAGTGAGACTGGGAAACCCTAAAGTAGACAAGTAAATGAACAAGGGGCTCCCAGGTGATGAGGAAATTGAACCAAAAGGTGTGAACTCCTACGTAAGGACAGGAATAAAACATGCTTGTGACGCGGGGTTTGCCTAGCAGGGAAGGCTAGCGAGTAAAGCAGATGTGTGCCGCTCATAAAAGCCAGGCGAGGCCGTGTGCACACGGGAAGCACAAGGCCGGCTGAGTCTTCGTGAGCTGTCAGTGCCGGGCAGCTGCCTGCTCTTTCCTAGCATGGTTTCTCCTTCTCTACAGCTGGGGAGGAACCCTGTAGGCAGAGGTGTTGTAAGAGCGGGAGGAAACGTGTGCGTGTGTGTGCGTGTGTGTGCACTCAGGGCCCTGGGCACAGGACCGAGATGCACAGTTCCAGTGTGTGTGCGTGTGTGTGTGTGTGTGTGTGTGTGTGTGCACTCAGGGCTCTGGGCACAGGACCGAGATGCACAGTTCCAGTGTGTGTGCGCACGTGTGTGTGTGTGTGTGCGCGCGCACTCAGGGCCCTGGGCACAGGACCGAGGTGCACAGTTCCAGTGTGTGTGTGTGTGTGTGTGTGTGTGCATTCAGGGCCCTGGGCACAGGACCGAGGTGCACAGTTCCAGTGTGTGTGCGTGTGTGTGTGTGTGTGTGTGTGTGTGTGCACTCAGGGCCCTGGGCACAGGACCGAGGTGCGCAGTTCCAGTCGCCGTCCCTGTGCCACGTCTTCCCTGTCGCGGTGACGCTGTTCCCTGCCCGCCTCTGTCTGGAAGTCAGACTTTCCGGTGCAGATCCCCCCGTGGGCCTCCCAGTGGGCCACGAGAGGTGTGAGGAACTGGAGGACAGTGTTTCTGGCCAGAGAGGTGGTAAAGTGCGGGTGTTGAAGGACAGGACAGGAGAGTTCCATCTGGGGTCCGTGGGTGGGCAGAGCACGCAGAGAGGGGGCAGGTCTGGCCAGGATGTGAAAAGCCTGAAGACCCAGGCCGAGTGCGGACTGGGCTTACCGGGCCACAGGGAGGCCCTGCAGACTGCTGGCTGTGTGGCTGGAATCCGAAGCCTCCAGCACAGGATAGCTGGAGGACGGATGGCCCAGGGCAGTGAGGGCCTGGAGCAGGGTGTGGTCAGGGAAGGTCTGTGCGGTGCCTCCCAGGGGCCCGACGGGGGTGGGGCTGGGGGGGACACTGGGGTCAGCACCATCTCCGTCCATGGAGGCGGCCACCACTTCCTTCCTCCCCTCACTCTTCTCCGAGCCCACAGCACCGACCCCTCCATGCAGGTGGCCAATCTTACTTGACCCGCATGTGTGCTGCTGAGAATGACTGTAAAAGTATTTTTCATCATTTTAAAATCATGGCACATAATAAGAGAAAATGAAAACTCAGCTGGACGTGGCAGCGCATGCCTGTAATCCCAGCACCCTGGGAGGCTGAGGCAGGAGGACGGAAACCTGGGTGACTTAGCAACTTAGCAAACCCTGTCTCAAAATCAATTCCTCAAGAAGGACTGGAGATGCAGCTCGACTGCGGGCAATTGTTCAAACCCAAGTACCATGAAAACAAAGCGAAACAAAAACAAATCCACATTTTCTTATAGCTTTGTTGCGTATTTATCAATGTGTGCTGGCTGGATGCATTTATTAATTGTGTAGGAGAGTTCGTGCCAACAGCTGGGTGGAGTCCTGACAGTCACCTCAGTCATAACTAGAAGGGCTTTCTATTCAGGGGTTTTATCCCGGAGGGGTCAGAGATGCCCGGAGATTCTAGACAAGTATAGCACACATGCGAAGTAAGGGCATTCATTGTTGGTGCAAGTCCATCTCTTCTCATGAGGGACCAGGAGGCCCATGGGATGCCCGGCGTCTCGGTCTGCTCTCTGCTGCTGTAAGAGAATAGCTGAGGTGGGGTGGCTTTATAATGAATACAGGTCCACGTATTCATGGACTGCAGAGGGTAGGAAGTCATGAGCGCTGTGTCCAGTCAGGCTGTGTTAGGTGTCACTAGAGGACCAGATTTAATGGAACGTGCACAGTGACCCCTTCAGAGCTGACGTATAAAGGATTGAAAGGTAGGCTCACAGTGGCCACCTGCAGAGTCAGGGTGTTAGCTGCAAAAGGGCCATCCGGTTGCGGGAGATCTGGAGGATTCGGTGAGAAGTCAAAGGTCTGGAGCTCGCTGCAGAGTCTCATGAGAGTCCATACCGGGACGCCAGAGGACTGCACTGGAATCCTGGAGACAGATGTCCGAAGATGGTGGTGAAGACAGGGCCGCCTGTGAAGAAGCAGCGAGACCTCCTCCTGTCCTCTTTACTCCACCCAGGCCACCAGCCTGTTGGTTGGTGCCCCCCACCCTCAGGGTGGAGCTTCCCATCACCCACGCCCAACATCTGCCCAGCCAGTCAGCTGGGCGTCTCCTAACGCAAGTTCACAGTTAGCGTCTCACAGGGCCTTGCGCTGCTTTGGCTCCCGGAGAAAAGCAGAGGATGAGCAGATGTGTGTGTAAGAGGGAAAATGCGAGCCGCACACTTGCTTTATAGCAAGTACTTTCACCTTCACGTACTGTCTCCTGGGAGGGAGGTGGGCACACCCCCTAAGAAAGCATCCTCCTCCTAATAACCTCCCTGGGGCCGACTCACCTGCAGGGGAGTCAGAGTCTGTATGAGTTTGTAGGAGACAAACCGTATCCACAGCCGCAGCAGCTTGATTCCAACTCGATTCTGCTTCCATTTCTTTCCTACCAGTGGCCTGAGACTGTCTTCTGGGCCACTGGGTGACACTCGCTGAAATATTGGTAGGAGATGTTTAGTCCTGAGCATCCTCAGCAATATTGCTAATTAGGAAAGCAGCCAAAAACTCCCAGAAGACAAAAGGAATCCATGAGAATCGTTCAGAAAATCCTCACTGCACAGATCCCAGCTCTGAGGCACTTTGTTGTCTGAGTCATTTAAGATGCCCAGGGTGTGCCGGCTTCTGGGGAAACCTGGCCAGAAGTTTCAGCAACACTGCTGACATCACGGAAGCCATTTAACTTCTCAGGGAGGCGGTTTTCCTCATCTGCACAGCAGCGAAGGGTGCTAAATACTGAGCTCTTCCTTTGCCCCTCAGTGAGTATCCAACCGTCAAAGAGGGCTCCTGCCAGCCCAGCCAGGAGGACACCCAGGACGTGTGTGACTCCGTTTCCATTTTTACTGTCATCATGCCTGCACCTCTCATCAGAGATACGTTGGAAAATGCCCTGTTTTTCTCTCTGTTTTCAGGGGCCAGAACACCCGAATCCCGGCAAGACGTTCAGTGCCCGCGGCTTCCCACGACACTGCTACCTTCCAGACAGCGAGAAGGGGAGAAAAGTAAGCACGGATGTTTCGGAGCAGGGTGGGGGACGTAGTTGCAAAGGGGCCCGGAGCTGTGCTTCCTGCTGATCAGAGAAGCCTGGGTCTCCTTTTACTCTAGATACACACAGCAGTGAGGTCCTACCAGAGCCCACCGCAGGGAAGAATGCACTTGATTAGATGGCTTTTCTGGTAGATGGGGACAGTAGAAATTTGGTTGGTTTTTCTTTTTTTTCCTCTCCAGTATATTGCTGACAGTAATTGTCTTTGTGAGGACCCTTTGTCTGCAGCCCTGCTGCTAAAGGCAGCTGCCGGGGACAGTAGCCATGGGGACCCCTAGGAGCCTGACAGAAGCACAGAACTAGAGTCGCTGCATCTCAGGAGATCCCTAGCTGGCCTGCCCACACGTTAAGGTGTGAGAAGCGCTACTCCAGGGCACAGATCTGGATTGGTGCGGGGTTCTTTTATTTTATATTTTATTTATTTGCAGTATTGGAGGTGCAACCCAGGGCCTTTGTGCCGAGCTATCTCCCCAGCCCTTTTTATTTTTTGAGACAAGGTCTCCCCAAGTTGCTAAGTTGCCCGACTTGGGCTTGAACTTTTGGTCCTTCGGCCTCAGCCCAGCAGCATGTGCCAGCACTCCCCACTAGGATGATTTCATCTTCACATGCTTTTGTATTCTTGGACTTTTCTAAAAATTGCAGAGGGAGTAATGGTTTGGTTCCCGGATTCCTAGTAATTCATGATCAGACTGCAGCAGTCCTGTGAACTCTAGTTAGAAGAAAAACTTTGTATTTGCGTTTCTGTGGATGAGGCCAGAACGAATTTTTCTTGCTCTCAGGAAGAAAACAGAGCCACTGGTCTGTGTAGAGTGTGGGGTGCAGGGGGGACCCAGGCCGGGGGAGCAGGCCTCCGTGGTCCATGCCTTTCCCTTTGGAAGGGGGCCAAGGACCAAGAGAAAACAGGTGAAGGTGTGTGGCCCTGTTGGTCCCCCTGCAAGCTTTCCGCTTACACACCCATTAAATTTAAAGTCATCTGAGTTGTTTCCATGGCTTTCTCTTTCTTTTTCCCCTAACATAAAAACACCTGCTGTGGTGTGAGATTAAGCCTTCCTCTCTCACTACCCCATCTCATCCCTCACGTCTGCCGTTCTGGGACTGAAACCCTGGACTTGGCTGCAGGGAGAGGGGCAACGAGAGCATGGGGCTTCGATCCAGAGCAGCCTGGGTCTGATCCTGGTTTACCATTCGTCAGCTGCGGAAACTGGTGTAAAGCTTCACACCCTGAAGGCTCGTTTCTGAAACTGTAAAGCAGTGACGATTTCTCTCCGCGCACTACTGTCTGCACACCCTTCTCTGTCTTCCCTTCCCCTGAGGCTTAGCTCTGCAGCAAACTCGTCCTGGGGCTCTGTTCTGACTCTGATCGGAGCAGGCCGCAGACCCTGGCCGTGGAGTCAGGCGGTCCTGAGGTCCGGCTTCCTCCCCGTCCCTACCCACCACTTGACCAGCTATGACCAGGGCGGAGCTTTTACCTTCCGCGCTTCTGTTTCTTCATTTGCAAAAAGGGGGTCACGAGAACACCTGGCCCGTCCTTTTCTGTGCCTGTCATCTGGCTCCACTCAGGAAATGAGTTGTAAGTTTACTACTGTGAGGATTCCTCAGCCACAGCCTGTGCCAAGTTTGCAGTAGTTCCACTGGGGAAGGGATGTCGTTCCTAGCAGGCACCTTCTGCATGTTTGACACTGCTGTGTCCAAGACTGCACACAGAACAGCGGGTATTGTCGGGCTCGACCAAGATGTTGTTGCCTTTTGATGCACGAGGACATTCTGAAATCCCCCACATGTCCCCGGGGCCTCGGTTTCCGCACCTGTACGATAGGGACAGTGATAGCTCCTGCTGTCTACCTGGCTGAAATGTGGTGGTGAGAACCAGAAGAGCAATTAAACACGAAACAGCCTGGAGTAGGGCCAAGCGCTCCAAGATGCCACTAAGAAGCACTCTACCCCTTTAGCCGTTGGCAGATTAATGCAAGTTCGAGGTGATGGTGCGGAGGAGTAAAAGTTCTCAGATCCAAGCACCTTCGGCTCCCAGGTCCTGTGTTTTACAAGGCAGCTATGACGTTGATAGTTGACATTTGTCAGGTGCAGTCATGTTCCTAACGCTGGCATGAAAATGATTTTCACACAGTTCCCCATAAAATGTGCACAAGCTTTGGACAGATCACTCCATTGCCACTTTATGAAGAAACCTAAAGCTCAGACAGGTGCTGTAGCTTGTCGAGGGTCACACAGCCACACGGCCAGGAGCCACCCCAAAGCTCCCTGGCTCCATCTCCAGGTGGCTTGGGGCCTGGGGACGTGGGGAGGGGCGGGCCCCTGGGAGGGCCACTACCCCAGAGGCAGTGCCTGAGCAGGCTCTGTCTCCCACCCCGGTCCCCCAGGTTCTGAAGCTGCTGCTTGTGGCCTGGGATCGCCGCCTCATCTTTGCCATCGGTACCTCCAGCACCACGGGCGAGTCCGACACGGTCATCTGGAATGAGGTGCACCACAAGACGGAGTTCGGCTCTAATCTCACCGGCCACGGCTACCCCGACGCCAATTACCTGGATAACGTGCTGGCCGAACTGGCTGCCCAGGGCATCTCTGAGGACAGCACTGCCCAGGAGAAAGACTGAGGCCGGCGGTGCTTTGAAGCGGGATGGGGACAAGGGGGCCGCAGGGAGCCGGGCGGAGGCCGGGGCAGCGCCCCCTCCCGTCCCGA